AGGACCAGGGTTTCCCAGACCGCCCCAGAGCACCCCGGAGCGGCCCTGGAGCTCCCAGACTGCCCCAGAGAGCTCCCAGAAGCTCTCGGGGACTTGGACAAGTCCCTCCAAGACAGCCCAGATAGCCCCAACGTGGCCCCTGATGGGTTCGAGACCGCAAATACACAGCCCAATAGGCCTCCAAGAGGCCTCAAGAGAGCTCCGAGAAGCATCCCGAGAGAGCCCGAAAAGGCCAAAATCCTTGATTTACATTGTTTTTTCTATGCTATTCGGTGTCTCACGTTTTCGACCTTCCGACGCTCCAAAGACCGCCCCAAGACCGCCGAAGAGGCCCCCAACAGAGCCCTAATACGGCCCCAGGGAGCCCGAAAATTGTCCGGGAGGAACCTCAGACGGCCCAAGAGAGCCCCAGGACAGGCCCAAGCTGGGCCACAGAGCGGGAGCGGGAGGCTCCAAGGTGCTCCAAGACGGCCCTGATGGCCCCAACGTGGCCCCAGATGGTCCCAACACGGCCAATACACAGCCCAAGAGCCTTCCAGAGGGCCCAAGAGAGCTCCGAGAGGCGTCTCGAGAGAGCCCGAAGAGGCCCATATCCTTGATTTCGGTTGTTTTTTCACATGTTTTTCGTTTTTTCCGCAGTCTCGAGCTTCCAACGCTCCAAAACGGCCGAAGATGCCCCGAAGATCGCCCCGAGACCGCCGAAGAGGCCCCCCAAAGAGCCCCAAGACGGCCCCGGGGAGCCCGAAGATTGCCCAAGAGCAGCCCCAGATTGCCCAAGCGGGAGAGGCACAAGATGGGCCCCAGGTCGGGAGCGGGAGGCCCCAGGGCGCTCCAGGACGGACGAGATGATTCCAACGTGGCCCAAGAGGAGCTCAAGACGGCAATCACACAGCCCAAAAGACCTCCAAGAGAGCCCAAGAGAACTCCAAGAGACGTCCCGAGAGAGCCCAAAGAAGCCCAAATCATTGATTTGCATTGGTTTGCTCGATGTTTTTCGCTTTCTCGCGTTCTCGAGTTTCCAATGCTCGAAGACGGCCGCAGGCGCCCCCAAGACCGCCCCGAGACCGCCGAAGAGCCCCCAAAACATGCCCAAGACATCCCCAGGGGACCCGAAAGTAGTCCAGAAGGAGCCTCAGACGTCCCAAGAACACTCCAGGACAGGCCCAAGCTGGGCCGCAGAGCGGGAGCGGGAGGCCCCAGAGCGCTCCAAGACGGCCCAGATGGCCCGGGCCTTCCCCCTCCGTCCCTCCTTCCCTCCCGCCCCCCCCCCCCCCTGCAGCCATTCCCTCCTCTCTCCTCTCCCTCCCCTCACCCCTTAGCTTTCGTGCTCCTCCCTCCTCTCCTGGGACGGCCCCGCCAGAGCGCCGGACGGGCCCCGCTAGAGCGAGCGGGGCATCGCTATACCCTATACTTTCACAAGTTGTCTTGCTCCTCCCACCGCACCCGAGGTAGTCCCGTCAGAGCGCACGGGGTGTGGCTATAACATTATTTTCCTTGGGTTTCGTGCCCCCCCCTCCCCTGATGGGCAAGCCCCGCCAGAGCGCCAGGGAAACCCCCGCCAGAGAGAGCAGGGCATCCCCACACCATATTATTTCACGCGATTCTTGCTCCTCACACCCTTGCAGGGCGGACCCGCCCGAGCGAGCGGGGTGTGGCTATACTATACCTATACGACCACCCTTCGGGTGATAAGGCGGTTGCGGGGGGGAGGGGTGGAACCAACATCTGACTCAATCGATCTCACTATCGATCTCACCCAACAAGACACCACGGGACACCACGGGACACTTGTCGATCTCACTATCGATCTCACAATCGGTCTCATTCAACGGGACACCATGGGACACCACGGGCCACAACGGGACACCACGGGACACCGCGGGACACCTCTCGATCTCACTATCGGTCTCACCATCGATCTCACTATCGATCACGCTCAACGGGACACCACGGGACACCTCAGGACAGATCGATGCCATTATCGGTATCATCATCGATCTCACTCAACGGGACACCACGGGACACGACGGAACACCACGGGACACCTGTCGATCTCATTATCGATCTCACTGTCGATCTCACCTTTTAGGACACCACGGGACACCACGGGACACCTTTGGGGCACCACATCGATTTCATTATCGATATCACCATCGGTCCCACTATCGATCCCACTATCGACCTCACCCAACGGGGCTCCACGGGACACCAGCGGGACACCGGGGACATTGCGCGGCACCAGCCGCAGGAGGAGTTACATTTGGTCCGGACGTGGCCCAGCCACAGGAGGATTTCGGGACACCAGCGGCACACCGGCGGGACACCGCGTGGCACCGGCCGCCGGAAGAGTTACATGTGGTCCGGCCGCGGCCCAGCCACATGGGGATGTCCTCTCGCCCGCCCACGCAGCTTCGCTTTGCCCGCACGCACGCACGGCACGCACGACACGAACCCGAAATCGAAACCGATTTCCGGGTAGGGGGGGGTTCCGTTTCACGTCGGAGTCACCCCCCAACCTCCGACAAAGGTTTCGTGCCCCTCCCTCACCTCCTGAAAGGCCTCGCCAGAGCGCCAAGAAAGTACCGCCAGAGGCCCCGTCAGAGCTCCAGGCAGCCCCGTACATGGGCCGTGCCAGGCAAATCATTGAGTATCCCCTGTGAGCCCGAACCCTCTGATTCCACGGGTGCGGTGATTGCCAGCATGAAGTTTGGCGTCCAGCACAAGGAAGCTACCCCCCTCCCGTGGACGGCCTCGACAACAACTGATTGCAGAGAAGGGCACTGATAACCTGGACATTTGCGCGCGCCCTCTGAAGATACCCGACAGCTGAACGACCGCTGAAAACGAGAACTTTGGAACACAATGAAACGCAAACACAAAACAACGCGTTCCCACGCGCGCGCAACGAGGCCCCGAGCCAACCCCAACACCAGGAGCAGGTGGATGTCTGCCTGATCGGGCATGTGGAAAACGAGCATGTGTGCAAAACACATTGCGTGTCACGACGGGGCAGACCAGAAGTGAAAGTGGAGAAGCAAGCGCAGTTCTATAAACCAAACGAAGGCGACAGCGAGATTGTGAGATACGTGGGAGCGTGGCGGCCCGCGTTATGACTACGCGTTTTTTTGCGTCGATGGCATGAGCCCGGAAACGCTAGAAATCGTCGTCGTGGCCACAGCGGAGCTTACGGCTGCACCCGTGGCGCATCTGCGACTACAACCGAACCGCGCGCGTAGCGCGCGTGGTGCCAGTGTGTGTGTGTGTATATGTATATGTATATGTATATGTATATGTATATGTATATGTATATGTATATGTATATGTATATGTATATGTATGTGTATATGTATGTATGTATGTATGTATGCATGCATGCATGCATGTATGTATGCATATATGTATGTATGTATGTATGTATGTATGTATATATATACACATATACAAATGAGTAGATATATGTAAATTTATATATGTTTGTGAACATGTATGTACGTATGCTTATATATCGGTGAATCGGCATATACATATGTATATGTACATGTACGTGTACATGTACATGTGTACGCACTTATCTATGTACGTATATACACATATAGGTATCTGCGCATGTAAGGGTAAAAGTTTTCGCATGTATAGGTGTATGTGTTTGTGTATTTGTAAATGTACACGTATATGTATATGTGCATGAATCTATACATGTATGTATATGTATATATACATGTATTGTACATGCGTATGCAAATTTACATGTGTATGTTTACAAATATGTAAACGTATGTGTTTATGCCCACCTATATGTATACGTATATGTATACGTATACGTACATGCATATGTACAAGCATATGTTAACATGTATGGAATTGTGTATATATATATATGTAAATGTGTATGTGCATGTATATGTGTATGTATATGTGTATGCATGTACACGTGTATGCATATGCATGTGTATATGTATTGGTACATCTAGATGACACACCTTTTCAGCTCCGGTGCTTTTTCGCAGTTTCGGCCCCCAGGGGCAGTTCTGGGCCGCTCTTGCCATCAAAAATGGGTCCAGGATGCACGGCTGGCCACATGGAGGCGCCGGCTTGCTGGACCAATCCATGCGGCAACTCCAGCCCCTCTTTTTTCCAAGCCAGGGTGCCACGTGCGAGCTCGCTGGTTGTGGGCTGGCCCCACCATCTTTCCGGACTATTGGGTTGGCCTCCGGCCAGTGCCGCCGATCCGGGGGGGGTGAGAGCGAGATGATGATGATGATGATGATGATGATGATGATGATGATGATGATGATGATGATGATGATGATGATGATGATGATGATGATGATGATGATGATGATGATTCTGATGATGATGATGATGATGATGGTGGTGGTGGTGGTGGTGATGATGATGATGATGATGATCATGACGATTGGGTTGATGGTGATGATGTTTATGATCTGGGTGCTTGGGCAGTTCGAGCGATGTTTCGGCGATTCGGGGCCCTCTTGCATTGTCTAGGGGGCCTCTGGGGCCTCTCTGGGCTTCCTCTTGGGCTGTCTTGGGCGGTCGGAGCTCCGGAAGTGGAGTTTTCTATACCCCCCATTCCCCGGGTACCGAAAAACGTCGGAAATGACCTCGGAAATAGCCCCCCCGGGTACCGAAAACGTTGGAACTGACGTCGGAAATGACGTACGCCCCCCCCGCTGCAGAGCGAAGCTTGAGCGAGCTCAAGTCCACGCTCTCAGAAACTCACACGCCGGATCGGCGGATTTTCGGCTACTTTGCCAAACTCGCTTGCCCTCGGCATTTCCTTACCCACCTGCATTTTGTGTATTTTTTCTTTCCCCCCCACGCGCGAATGCGAACCAGAAGCTGTGTAAACCTTGCCTGACAGTGTTGAGCTGGAAGGGGGAGTCGAAAATGCGATGCGCGCGCCTGCCTGCCGTCGACGGCGCGGTGCTGCGATCGGGCAGGTCGGAGGCCGCCCTCGCTGCCGAGCCCGCCCGCCGCAGGCGCGGAGGCGGGCGGCGGCCCGCTGGAGAGCCGCGTGGACGAGCGCGAGATCAGCGTGACCCTCGACAAGGCCCTCGTTCAAGAGTAGGATTAAGTCGGGCATGTCCCTCTACAGGAGGAATATTCAAAAATAGTAAAAAGATAGCCAGGGGACTGTTCTCTGTTTTTTTAAAAAACTATTGATCACAATTTTGGAGTATTTTTGGAGTATTCTTGGTATTTCGCCCAAAATCTTCCTGTAGGGGGACAAGCCCGACCTAAGAGTAGGAAGAGTAACTTGTAAGTATCGTGTAACCGATCCCCATCTCCATCTATCCCCGTCCCCGTCCCGATCCCCACCACCCCATCACCCCGCTTTGGGGTGTGCTCCTCGAGACCCGAGGGGAACAGCCTACATCCCCATCTAGGGGGGTAAATCGGCCAGTGGGGCTCAGACCACCCCGGTGGGGATAGGGATTGGTCAAACGATGCTCAAAATCGGAGGGGGGGAGTACTGGTTTGAATGGGGGGAGCGGGGCATCTGCGTGGATCATCAAATTCAGTTTCGGTGCTGGTGATAGCCACAAGCTTGCCATGTGAGGCCCACTCCTCGAGACTTGGACAGCTCTTTCTCCGCAGAGGCGGCGACAGTAGCGGAATGCACGACAGTGGTGCGTAGACTGGTGGGTCGCTTAGCGCGTGCATTGAGCACACACAGGGACATGTCCGGCTAGTCTAGATAGGCTCCAGGCCGAAGGGCGAAACGAAACGGAACCAGTGGGAGGGGCAGGAGGAAGACCAGAGTGGGCGCAGGACGTGTCGCGACGATGTGGGACGCTCCCACCTGGAGCCCCCTCCTCCTTGGTCCCCGTGGCCGTTCTCTTCCCAGCGCGGATCGTCTCCCCCGAGAGACGGGCGCAGCCTGTGGACCCGCAGTGCGGGCGCCATGTCCGTTTTTGGAAGGAGGCCGGCTCCGCCCTTCGAGCATTCACGGGATGCGGCAGGGTGGGGTCCCAGAAAGGTCAAGGAGTTGCCCGGCGCCAGCGTTGCTCAAAACAGGCGGATGCCACGCTGTGCGCGCTTTCCAGCACCCATGCATAGGGAGGAGGAGGAGGAGGTGGAGGAGGAGGAGGAGGGGGAGGAGGAGGAGGAGGATACGAGTTCAGACGGAGAAACATGGCTGGGGGAGGAAATTATCAGGGGATCTGAGCTGGAGGACGACGAGGAGAAGATGTGGAGGATGATGAGGAGGAGGACGCTTAGGAGGAGGAGGAGGAGGCGCAAGTACGCGGGAGGATGATGCCCTCCCCTCTCCGTCTCGTCGTTCCTTCCATTCCCCATATCTCCTGATCGTCAACATTCTCCATCTTCTCCTTTGCGTTTTCCCCCTCATCTCATCCTGCTCGCCCTCCTCCCCATTTTCCGAAGCCTGTTCTCTCTTCCTCTGTCCACTCTCTTCTGCAATCAATCAATGAGCGTGATCCCACTTCGGGGCATTACATCGGTGAAGCCACGAGCTCTGAAACAGCTCTGTTGCGGGTCCTTTCAGATTTGCGCCTGGAGTCTTTGTTCGTGGCGCGCTTCGTTTTCAAGTGCAGGGATTGCTGGGCATTGACCGTGAAATGTGTAAATGTTGTCATTCTCGTTCCCTTCCGCCTTTACCTTTTCCCTTGTTTCTCGTCTTCCACCCCTTACCTATTGGTTATCGCCGTGCAAGCTGTCTTGTGTTGGGTGTTCATCATGGACTTCGATCATGGACCCCTTATTAAACGCAGCCATCCAGCTTTCGCGCCGATGACCGCCGAAGACCGTCGGAAGACCACCGAAGACCCTGGAACCGCCGAAGACCGCCGAAGAATGCTAGAAGCCCGCCGAACACCGCCGAGCGCCGGTGGGTTAACACGGGGTCCATGGTCGAATACGTAATTTTGTGCTCATCCTTCTATCTCCCTCCGCGTCTTCCGAACAGGGTGAGGGCGTGTTGCTGGGATTCTGCGTCCGCAGCGTCGGAAGCGGATGCGGCATGGTGGTGGAGAGCCTCCAAGATGAAGGCGCGCCCAATGCCATGAGGGAGGCATGCATAAGGAGAGGGTGAAGGATGTTACAAGGAACCATGAAGTATCCTCGGATTTTTTTCGCACCGGGCGTTTTCGACAGGCTTCGTGCCCCAAGACCATCACATGTCGATACAGCTTGACAAGTGCCACAGAAAGATAGGATCTAGGGCTCCAGTTGTGATTTTCCGCGATGTCGTATTTTTTTGCATGTCCAGCTGCCTGTGGCAAACCCCGCCACCGTGCCAGCGCAACAGCGCAGCATGAAGGATATCGGGTTCACAACACGCTGCAATTCAGTGCGCGGTCTGAATTCTTTACGCTTCGCGTATCCCCACCTGTCGGCTTTCTCTTATGCCGTAATTTAGATCGTGGCGCTGTTGCTTCGCTTCTTAACGGCGGGCAGTTACTCTGTGTCGCTCGCGAACAAAAAAGTATCCCCACCTGCCCATCCAAAAGCAGTCGC